GCATTTGGCCATATTCAACCTCAGCCCGTTGTCATTCCTGCCACTACTGTGTGGAGGAAGTGTTAACTACCAGGACTGGATCTGCTTCAGGAGGTACTTGCAAAATACACAGAGCTGAATGTGCAACTAAAAGTGGGCTGTAGAAGGCTGATTTTTTTTAAAGAGCAAAAAAAAAGAAAGCCCTAAAGAAAAGACTCAAAGCTGTGAATGAAAAGAGGAATAATTTTTGACTGGTAAGGTTTTTAGCAAGCTTCTCATTAGAATTGGACCCACTTGCCAAGAGCTGTAATTCAGTTCCCTTTGTTAAACAACCTATTTCAGCTTTAAATTATTACTTCCTATTTCTTCTTCTATGTATTATATATTCTACATTACTTCATATACTTGTTGTTTTTCAGCACTGGAAGCTTTTAACCAGCACATAGGATTGGATTCTCTTGCTTCAGCCTCTCAGAGGCAGACTGAGCGTGACCTAGACTCGCTCAGCGTGACGACGGACGATCTGTTGGCGTTTCCAGCAGACGGATCGCTGCCCTTTGTCCAGCCTAGTCCTTTGAAATCAAGGCATGGACGTGGTGAGTGGGACAGATGTTCACTGCAAACCTCATCCTGCCCTTCCCAGCCCTCGTGGCTCGATACCGGGAGCGGTTTCAGTCCCAGGTGAAGGGGAAAGCTGCTGCTCGCCAGAGTCCGCACAGAGACTTCAGGAAAGAGAAACACGATGTGTGTACACCTGATAGGTCCGATTCTGCCTCCTCTAAAAGACGTTTAAGATCTTTTAAAGAGAATTCTGACACTTTAAAGAATTATCCACTGTGGCTTACCAGTCAGAAATCCAACTTAAGCGTATCGGGGATAAGTAGCATTCCCAGTTTGCGCTACCCAGGCTGGCTGAAGAGTTACAGCCTTCTTTCTGCTTCAACTAAAGAAAGCCATGGCCAAAACTGTAATACAGAGAGCAAAGCTTCCTATTCACAGACTTTGGAGACCCTGGAAGCAAGACACTGTGTAGATAAAGACCTTTCTTCTAAGTTTTTTGAACAAAACGGCAGCCTGGATCTGAGAAGTGATAGCGAAGTAGGAGAAAGTAGCGACTGTGACGGTCCAGATGCACGCTTCCCCGTTGATAACTCGTTTTCAAGAGGCACTAAAAAGCCATTCAGAGGTAACTATTTCATAGAACTGGGGTTTTGAAGCGTATAAAGACACGCATGATTTAAAACCAACACTGTGTTAGTCTGTTTGCACTGTACAGTGGATTTCTTCACTTTCATCTCTGACAACTGACTCGAAGCGCTCGCAAGTAGTTGACTGAGTTAAGGCAATTTCAGGCATTAAATTAAATTGCATGACATGTAACCCTGAGGGAGAGAGAGATGCCTGGGCGTGGTGTAAACGAACCTGTCAAATTGGTATAAAATGCCTTTTATTGTGGAGTTTTTCCTCTACACGCTCAGCGGGAGATATTTGTAACCCATATATTTAGGTCAGTCACCCTTTAGGTGAAGACTTGCCTTGGGAATCTCTCCCGTAGCACCGTCTCTGTATTGTGAAATAGCAGCAAGGTTTGCTCTGGTAAGAGAGATCAACACTGCGATGTGTTAATTCCCTTCACTTCTAAATGTATTTAAAGAGCACAATAGTTGTTGCCGTTGTTATGCAAAGCACAAATACTGAGCTCTCCCTTTTCCCCAGAGGTTATGTATACAAACCCGGTTAAAAATGCTTGTGTTGTGGATTCGAAGCAGCAAACAGCTGGTTCTACAAATAGCTGCTAATACCTTTCTAATCCATATGTATGAGGAACTTTAAATGTGGGGTTATAGCTTATTTTTCCACCCAGTAAATGCTAGGTATTAAACAAAATCTATAGGAACGTGCCTGTCACCGAGTGCTTGTCTCAATCTCTTTAAATGTGAGTCCTGTATGTGTGATTTGCATGTATATCTTGCTTGGTTTCTCTCTCTGGTGGCTGTAGAAGCAGCTATTAGAAAAAAATCTGTACAAAATAATACAGAAACTACCCTAAACCTACAGTATTCATAGCTAATAATTAACATTGTACTGTGAATTAATGCTAATCATATTTCCTAGCATGAAAACACATCGAAAACGTGAAATAATCCTGAATGCTGCGTGTGATGCTTCTTTTACCTAAGTCAGGAAAAGAAATGCTTGACAACTTTAAACCCTCTCCTGCCTTGAACCTTGCAGATCCCAGTTGGATTCACACACCGTGCTGCTCTATCAGGATAACCAAAGGAGTTGTGATGGGGCTATACTCTAATTCATCTGTAGTAATTTCCTTTGAATCTCGCATAAAATCAAAAGTCCTGTGGAAATAATGCCCTTGAAGAGGCTTGGATGCATTTTTGTCCTTGTTTTTTTTTCAGAAGAGCAGCTTGAGCTACTGACCCTGAAGGCTGGCAGAGATACAGAGAGATCAACTGGAGATCTGGCAAAACAATCTGGGAAGTGATGGCAGTCCTTCTGCTACAGATATACTCGGAGGAGAAAGGTCATGGGAAGAAGCTCCAGCTGCTTTGTGAGTAAACATCGAGTTTTGGACTCATTTGTTCATGAAAATGCATCCAAATACATAATACTTCATCACAATGACTCTATCCTAAACCAATTCTTTCAGTTTATAAACCTGTTATTGATCTCCCTTGCATGTTTAATGTTGGACTAGCAAACCACCGGTGCCTGCGTGCTGCGAGGACGTGGAGAACGCTCTACCGCTCCCCAAGGCAGATATCATACAGAAATTCTTGGAAGACTGCTTAAATGACAAAAATAAGGTCAGTAAAACTGAAGATCTATTTCTGAGTGTGCCCAAAATGGTAAGGCTGGTAAATATTAGAAGGGGAAATATCTGTACGTAGGTTTTCGCGACCATGCAGTGGCATAAATGAAGATGAACCAGTGCAGCATCAGAGATGTATGATTTATAAATAGACCTTTAAAGGAAAAAGGTAGAGGGAAACACTTGTAGAAATGAGCTTTTAAATTGTTTCAGGGAGACGTCAAAAGCTGTTTGATTTATCTTGTTTTATGTGTGCTACAATACACTGCAAGATCAATGAATTCTTTG